CGTACCGCGAAGAAAACACCTCACTTCACCATTGCAAAGATCAACTGGTTAACCTTGTTTAAGGAAATAATACGACTAAATTTTAATTAACCTTTGGAGCCGAAGCTTTTTCAAATGAAACTTACGAATTCAGTCCGTACCGCGAAGAAAACACCTCACTTCACCATTGCAAAGATCAACTGGTTAACCTTGTTTAAGGAAATAATACGACTAAATTTTAATTAACCTTTGGAGCCGAAGCTTTTTCAAATGAAACTTACGAATTCAGTCCGTACCGCGAAGAAAACACCTCACTTCACCATTGCAAAGATCAACTGGTTAACCTTGTTTAAGGAAATAATACGACTAAATTTTAATTAACCTTTGGAGCCGAAGCTTTTTCAAATGAAACTTACGAATTCAGTCCGTACCGCGAAGAAAACACCTCACTTCACCATTGCAAAGATCAACTGGTTAACCTTGTTTAAGGAAATAATACGACTAAATTTTAATTAACCTTTGGAGCCGAAGCTTTTTCAAATGAAACTTACGAATTCAGTCCGTACCGCGAAGAAAACACCTCACTTCACCATTGCAAAGATCAACTGGTTAACCTTGTTTAAGGAAATAATACGACTAAATTTTAATTAACCTTTGGAGCCGAAGCTTTTTCAAATGAAACTTACGAATTCAGTCCGTACCGCGAAGAAAACACCTCACTTCACCATTGCAAAGATCAACTGGTTAACCTTGTTTAAGGAAATAATACGACTAAATTTTAATTAACCTTTGGAGCCGAAGCTTTTTCAAATGAAACTTAAGAATTCAGTCCGTACCGCGAAGAAAACACCGCACTTCACCATTACAAGGATCAACTTTTTAACGCTGTTTAAGGAAATAATCGCTGTTTATTATAAGAATCATACGAAACACGTGAATACATTCTGCGGGCAAAATGCAAAGTTATTTAATGTTAAAGTAAGTTTTCGTTGCTGTAATTTTAAACTGGAAGTCAGTCCACCCTCTTAGCAGGCCCGTTCTGAAGCAGAGGGCGTCTCCACGATAAAGAGCTGAATAAACACTTAATAATAAAGCATGATTCACGCCTTCGCCGTCGAATAAAAAGGACAGCCTTCTTATCTGGTTTTGCCAATAGACTCGCATGCATTAGCCTGATTAGCCTTGCAGGCGCCCGGTCGTTAAGATCTGCCGGTAGAGGCACCACTGTACTAATCTTCACGCTATTTGACTATCGGAAGCCCTGGGTTTCTGTACGCCGTTGCTAATGCGTTTCTTACATGACAGATATGGTCGCCATGACAGATTACCGCGTTATAAGTAAGGTATCTTTCGTTTCCACTACTTTTCAGCGTCATTAGGTGACTACTGAGTGCAAAGTGATGAAGTGTTGTCAAAGTTCCGTTGCCAGGAGACAGCCAAAAGTTCGTCGATCTTGGCTCCATTCATAAACAGTGGTGGCGGCGGCGGTTGTGGATCGATTATACAGGGTGTTGCGTTTGTGTCGCAAAACTGAGCGCCGAAGAGCACGGCGTGGTAACCGCGCTGAGACGGACGATGTGTGGGCCATTGTACACAACAGACAACACACTCTGCTGATTCGGCTGTCGGCCCACAGAAGAGCTGTTTCATACAAAGTTTGAAATGAAACGTTAATTCCTGCAATCTATTCGCAATTCTGATTTCCTGATTACAGCAGACGGGTAAGAACGCCACATTTTCCTAGAATCTGCGCCGTGAATGACGTTCATTTGTTCCCGTGACACGTGATTCGGTGATAATGAAGCGGCAAGGAACTGAGTTATGCGTTGACCATTCAAAATGAAACGTGCCGACAGATGTAAAATTACTATATCCTAATTATGCGTTCATTTTGTACATGTAATTTTAATAGTAGTGATTATAATTGCGATGATGCACGGAGAGGCCCGATGTTTGCCGTGGAATTAAGCTGCCCGAAAGGTCAGTTACATCACAAGTGACTGATGGTTGCATCACTGAGCAGTGAAATTATAACCTGTTCAAAAAATTTGGCACCACATTTTGACGACTGAAGTTCGGTTCGCTTCTTAAAATACCAGGGTTTATCAGGAATTTTGTTTCGTCGGGATTGTGACCGAGTGTTTGCTTGTCCATCCTTTCCCAGGTTCAACCACAGACCCCTGAGAGACCTAGGATAATATTAAAGTGGATCATAAAGAAGAAGTCTGCATAGTTTATAATAAGTGACTTTCTACGGATTGAATGGTTTAGGTTCGATTCCAGGCAGGAATAGATTTTGTCTTCGCCCTCACGTCTAGAACATCTCTGCGAGTAAAGTCGATAACTCGCGTCAACCTAGTGTTGATGTTAGGAATGCGTGGAGCCATACCTGAATTCCAAATACGCCTGCAAGGCATACGACTTTAATAGAGCGCGCGAGCTACTTTGCCGTACCATAAACACGTGTTTTAGTACGTCTGTTTCTCGAAGATGTCGTGATATTTTTTGGCCTGTGCAGAAAACATTTTCAAAGCTCTGCGAGTAAAGTCGATAACTCGCGTTTTAGTACGTCTGTTCCTCGAAGATGTGATATTTTTGGCCTATGCAGAAAACATTTTCAAACAGCGCGATAGTCGTTAGTCATTTCACAGATCCATGAAAATATTTTGTACTAACGCAGTGAAACACTGTTCGTGCCTACCTCAACCTTTAGTGCAGTGGCAAAGTTGAATTGGCTAACAACATCTGCGGAGCGAGGTCCAGCCAACTGCCGCGCGCCATCCGGTGTCGTCTTCGGTGCCACTGACCTCAATCAGTTTACTGCAGAACACTACAGCGACACCAGTCAGGTTAGAGCAGCGGTAAACCTTCCGGTGGTCGGATCTGTACCGCAGGCAGGATCTCAGTAACCTGCCCTAATCCGATCTCGCTTACACACACGTTTTCTAAGCTTCGGAAGCCGGAGACATCGCAAACAGCGTATAGAGAGAGAACCTGAGACCCTCCTGGTGTTTCGGTCTGTGCGGTGAGGAACAAAGGAACTTAAAACACTGATTTAATGATCTACGAAATTTGAGTTTTTCAAAGTATCATAAAAGTAGATCATCTTGTTGTCGGTAACAACCTACAAGACGGCGAGAGAACTGTTGTCCCCCGGCCCAACCCGAAAACTGGGAGACCACCCATTGTCGGCGTTCCTCGACTGCCTAGATACAGCGTTCTCAGCTCGAAATCGGGCTCACTTAGAGTGCCTCTAAAGCCAGTGGTGAGTAAAGCAACGATCTTGGACCCTCTGCTAGGCAATTTAGGTTAATAGACCACCATTTGCTTTCATAATAAATGGCAGTAACTTTGCAGATGTTGGGATTGTGTATCAGGCGTCAGAGAACGTCAGTCTTTGTAGGGGTAAGTAGTGAGTGATAAATCTTGTGGCGAGAAAATGAAACAGAGTAATGAGTGCACGCGCAGTTTACAGTTCTCGCCAAACGTTACGAACCGATTACGACATATCTCGTGCCTTCCGCCTACACCTTCTGCGTGACTATCTCCGAAGTCAATGTCCTGACCATGAAGTTATATGGATCCTGTTCTTTCGACGATCTACGCGATGTATAATTAAGATCTTTTAATATTTGCAAACGATGAAGAAGCAGGCGAAGGGAGTTGCGCTCTCTGGGATGCTGGATCTGTAGGCTTAGCTGGGATTTACTTAGGAGAAGATTTATCTAGGTGAGAGCTGGCTGTATTTCGGCGGTCATACGTCTCTGATGTACGAATGCAAGACCGTCGTAAGTCGCAGGAAGGAATTCGCGTGCATACATTTATATCTGTCATTTAATCTGAGTAACGACGCACTAAGCAGTGAGGCTAATGGCCTCTTTCATGAGGCGGCTCTCAATTTATATGCAAATTCACCAAATGCAGCCGCTGCGTGCCACCGCACTCAGATATCCAGTCCCTGGCACGAACGAAACATCTGAGATTTTTCGAATGTGTCCTTGGACCCAACAAATGCAGAGTCCTTTGACACTGTCGCTGGACACGGAAGTGACCTGTAGATAGGGGCACTTCGTCTCCATAGCGACAGATCTCATTGCAGCCAGACTGGAAAATGGACGCAGAACCGGGATTAACCAACCGATGTTCATCGCGAGGTCTAACTTTGGTCCGGTCGATAATGAAGGCGATTTGGTGGAAAGGACCGGATTTGTCTGAAGGGCTGTAAATTTTGGTGCCCTTCCCGATACCTGACGACGTACAGAGCCAGAATCTGAAATATCGTACACAATTTATTATCCACATGACGTGAAACGTGAAAGAAAAATCTGCAATTTTTATTCTCCAAATTTTAAATGTGCATAAGAAGACAGACAGACATATCCGTCCCTTCTCACGTGACAGCTGGTGCAGCTGCGGGCGCAGAGAGAGATGAAAGTATCGTCCCAAATCTTCGCTGAAGTGACTGTCACCTTGACGGACAGGAGAGATAAAAAAAAAGACGTTTTGTTATGAAGAAAACAAATTGGAGCAGAGACTGAGTGACTTCTGGACGCACCCAACCACAGATTCGTTTTGACCTGTGGTAATGTTCTTGTCTCTCTCTGTCTCCCAGGTTTGCCGTGATTCAATGCAGCTGAGTTAAATGAAATTCGTCAGCGAAAATACCATCATTTGTCTCGTATGCTGCCCACGGAAAGTGAAATACAAGTGACCGGGTGGTTGATTAGTGACGTCACTAACTGACCCACTCCTTGAAATCGTCTTCCTTACAAAGCCACTCGACTTATGGGAAAAAAATCCCCTGGTACTGTTGCGAATAAATTGAAGATTCATCACCGTGTTCACAAAATCCTACTATCTCTGCCTCTTCCACGTCAAATGAGTCTAGTGTTATCCGCTTCGGGACCGGAAGTCAGGACAATTCTTCCCGGTGTTCTTTTTGGCCTGTCTAAAATCTAGTCTTCGTTTCAAGGAATTTTACATAAATATAGCATTATGAAGTTTCTCGTACTCACCAATTTCGAATCTGTGTACTTTATCAATCGGCAACCACCGGGCTCCGGGAGATAGCCGCTGCCCCGTTCTCAGGTGAACTTGCGCAATTTGGTCCATTAGAATTTCCTCTCGAACTGTGGCCACTGGGAAATGGGCTCGCTGTGCAAAGCTCCATCTGAGGTTAATAATCTGTGAAGTAAGTATTAAAATTATGTAGAGCTCTTAACCAAAATAAAGGACCGATAAGGTATAAGATTAAATATAGTTGCCCCAAAATAAGGCAGTCAGGAGTATAAAAAAATACAGACAGTTGACATATTTCATAAATTTTAAATAAACCCGTGATATTACCCGGAAGTCAGTACCATCTATGGCGCTGTTTTCGAAACGCACACTAAAATTTCATCAACATATTTGTTTTGAGCAGTAAATACGAGACCAAAGATAACGAAAGTCCAACATTCAGTAATAAAAATGAATAAAGAATGTATGGAAAATATAAACATATTAGACGAAGTCAGAGATAAACATTTTTACTGTGAGAAACAAAGATTGGAAGAGATATATAGTATCACGAGGGTCGCTGACTCATAAGCCACTTGAATCCAATTGGCATCACGTGGCGTAACCGCACATCACGCCAACTGTCTCAATAATTTCCTCCGAGTCTTTCAAGAATTATGACGCACTTTCACGTCCCTCTGGCAATTATCTGAGCTCGATGCGGGTCCCGAGGGATCCTAGGGACAGCATTATGATACTTCCGCCTGCAAGTCACTGTTTCGATTACATGCACAACAGGCACGTCGGAGATGTTGCCGCCGGAGCACGGCTGACGGGTGACATTACTGATAAGTGTGGAATGAAGTTATTTCTAAGGGGTCCTAACGCATCTTACTTCTTATGAAAGACGGACATTAATATCATAACAAATAATATCTCTTTTCTCTATTCCTCTTCATTCGCTATCCATTAGCAGTGCCCGCTCGTCATTTGAAACCTCGTGTAAAGATTTAAGAATTCAGTCCGTACCGCGAAGAAAACACTACACTTCACCATTACAAAGATCAACTGGTTAACGTTGTTTAAGGCAATAGTCGCTGTTCACAAGAAACACGTGAACAGGTGCTGCAGATAGTTCAGGTGGGACATATAGTTACCAGCACAAAACGTGTCTTAAAAAAAGCGTCCTGGTCTGACCGGGCGTGCGGACAACGAGTTCGCCTTTAAGAATAAATCCCCGGACGTCGGCGGACCGTTGGGTTTCTGGGTCACTCCTTCGGTCCACCTGCGTCTTCTAGCCGTGCTCGTTAACACTCCCCTCCCACCCTATAAAGCCTAAAGGTTGTTGACGTTGTCTGCGTTTCAATTTGTGATAGAAGCTGTTGACGTGTGTACGACCCCAGTCAGCTGACGGCACCTCCCACGTGAATCACTGTTGTTCCCAATGCAGAAACTCAAAATGCAGAAGGAGTGCAGACGAGCGAGAGGAACACAAAGAATGGATAGACATAAACGAGGGTAGTGAATTACGGACACAAGGTAGGAGTAAGTCGAAAGGACGAGCCCTTCCGGGTGAGCTGAGGAACGCAGAGGTACCTCGGGTGCAGTACGTGTTCAGAAATCTTTCCTGAACATGTACGTCGACTAATTCCATTACAACTTCACTGAAATTGCCTTAATATCAATCAGACGGCGATGATTGATTTTTGATTAGACTAGATAAGCTAATTCAACTGAAGTGATTATGAAAAGTGAATCAAAAATAATTTTAAAAAGTAATTCTTGGATTGTATTAAGGTGCATTCCCAGAATTTGCGTTGGGTGACCGGATAAAACCTATAAAACTTCAGTATACTTGTCTTCGGGGTCAAGATTCGAACCGGGAACCTCCCGAACACAACAGGATGCTAATCACTCGAAGGTCACATTCTGTTTGACTCACAGTGCGTTTATGAACTTATTTAAATTACAGTGAAGGACGGCTTATGTCATCAGGAGGATAGGGTCATCTCCCTCGGGCTAATTCCTACCGGTGGACAGACCGCTGTTGAACACAGGGCCACTTCTGTGCCAAGGCTCCTGACTCAGACAATAAAATGCATTCACCAAACCAGAGACTCTTCCTTCCAAACGTTACGATATTTTACACCAAAAGTCGTCGCTTGCGGAATTTTATTAAGTCCGGGTTTGAAGTCAAGTCCTCCAAATTGGATAACTTTACGTCGTCTCAGACTCGTCGGTGTCCGTACGTGCACTCAGCTAACTGGAAAAAAGAAAAACGTCGCTCGTGGAAACTCAACAGTGATGACGATAATTTACACCGCAACGTCAACCCCTCTTCCAGCAGTACGCTGATGGGCCGCAAGGTGGTAGCACGTACACACTTTGTAGTAAGAAGACGGAGTACACACAGCTTCCAAAGGCGTACTTTACTGTCCTTAAAATAAAATGAAATATAATTTGCACTTTTCTCTTAAGATAGAAGCCTGATTGAAACGATGAACAATGTTCAGGTCCTTTGAGATTTTATTACGAACACGATTTTATGAACCTCAATTTTTGCCTCATGGGAAGAGATAATATTTTGTATCACGTGACTACAGAAGGACCAATAACATTACAGTTCTACGCGCTGTAATGTTCAGTGTTATGGTCGCAGAACGGGAAGACAGACCATTCTGAAGCGAATGGTAGGTTGAATTCCACGGTTTACTGTATTTTAACTCCGTAAAAGAGAGTAATAAAAGTTAAATATCTTCTCGTTTAAATATGACTGCTGAAAGATGTTTTTAGCTTTGTCTCCCTAAGCGGCTCCCATAACTTCTAAATAAATTGAAACAGACGGTTTTCGTCACATCGTTTTTATTTGCAATCCAGCGCTTGTCAGCCCAAGTTTATGGCGTAATGCGAAGTAAGTTCATCTTGTCTAACGGGGACCATTAATTACCGCGTGTTCCGTCCGCCCCGAGAAAGGATGAGGACCCGCCTCGCTGGTTGTAGAAAGGCGATATTTTTCACAGGCCAAACACAACATCAATTTCAAGAGACTTCACATAACATAAAAAAACTCTAGAAGCCCTCACTTGAATTAAAACCAACAACAAAGTGAATGTGTCCAAAATGGTGGTGTGGTCCCAACTGGGCCCTGAGACCCACAACACGTGTCACAAATGCGACTGTAATGGAATGTGACATTCTGATTCGCAGAAATCCGTCTTTTGTTTACAAACTTCAATCGCATGGTGGCAGCACCGTCACACAATTTACACTACTGCAGATCGCGGTGACTGCTGTAGTAAACTTCACTACTGCCCGTGAAAGCTGACGGGAATTAACATTCCTTGCATTGAACAGTGAAACAATATATCAGCATTATCTTCGCATATCGCATTGACAATACGAGCGTCTCCCAGTCTGATGTAGTTTTAGAATAACAGGGCGTTTGCCCCTCGGTACAGACATACAGCTTCCTCAAATGGGGAGAAAATACACCGCACAACGAGATGAAATAACTTACAGTCTGATTTAACTGCAAATTTTCTCTCGTGTTAAGCTCCGACGTTATTGGACTGTCTACTGAAAAGGACTTTGTGTGTGTGTGGGGGGGGGGGAGTTGACTTAACAAGTCCTCGGAATTTTCAAACGAATGTCCGATAGACCATAAAACAATGAACAAACTTAACACGATTGTGAAAGGAAAATAATTAATTAATTTCAGATAACTTTTTTCTTTGTAGACTACTCGTTCTGCTTCTCGTAAATAATTAATTCTCCGTCTAAACGAACACTCTAAAGGATGCCAGCCGCCCTAAAACGCTCAACGTTCACTGGGAGTGCTTTTAATCGCTTTATATTGACTATCATTCATCTCACTTCGTAGCTTTTACGTGTTTAAGAACTGAAAGCTGGTAATTAATTTTTAGTCCCATATCCGTAATGTGCATTACAGGATTCGCGCTCGTGGCTTGTCTGTTCTGGTTATCCAGGCCACACACTTCATTATCCCCGCACTGATTATCAGAACGGCTTCCGGCCTTCATCCGTCTCGCCCACGTGACCTTAGTGACCCTGGGCACGGCACAACTCTCTCCCCCCCCCAAATTCAAGACTTCAAAGGACCCACAGTGAATGATTACAATGCATATTACACTGAGGAACGTGCGTCATGGTACAGATGTTGGCACGCCTGTTACGTAATCTGGAGATTCCAGGTTCGACTCTCTGCCGGGACTGTGTTTCTTCTCAGTCCCACCAGGCATCAGCTGCTAAATTGTCTTAAACGGGACACGAACGCTTCCTTCCGAACCCTTACCAATTTACAAATAAAAACCACTGGAGCCCTTATAATATTTGTAGTTGAAAAGCGTCGTTATATAACACAGTAATCAGTCAAAATGGTGACTTCGAGGTTGTGTTTAATTAAAATAAATCATAGATCTTTTTCACCGGAATTGAAGTATTTTTGTTGCAACACGTTCTGAAAGCGTCTACAAATTTTGTATCAAACTGTTTTTGGCCCAACCGATGTGTACATTTAACTCGCGTTTTTCTATATTACTTTAGGTCGAGTTCTTGCGATGGGCCGATCCCCAATCTAAGGAGTATTGCCAGATGTCTGAAGGACTTAATTCTGAATCGTGAGCAATAAGATATAATTAATGAAAGCTCCTTAATGATGATGATGATGATGATGATGAGGGTGGTGAGAGTGAATATCACCAAGAAAGCCTAAATGGTAACATTTCAGGTTCTCACGGCGACGTGTATGACGATGACAATGTTCCATGTAGCACCGCTTAGCCCTGACGATGGAGGCAGTAAGCACCTCCAAAACGTCGGTCAATTTTTCTACCAGACTGCACGGCCACCGCCTCCGTGAGAACCTGAAGTAGCACCCACCGAACAGAATGTAACTTTGTCAATGCACTGACAGACGCGTGTCTCCCGCAGGTCCGGAATGCGACCGCGGTCTTCATCATCAACCTGAGTGTGTCGGACCTTATGTTCTGCTGCTTCAACCTGCCTCTGGCTTCCTCGACGTTCTGGCAGCGCGCCTGGAAACACGGCAACTTGCTATGCGAGCTGTTCCCCCTCACGCGCTACGGCCTTGTGGCTGTCTCTCTCTTCACCGTCCTGGCGATCACCATCAACCGCTACGTGATGATCGGCCATCCCAGGCTGTACCCCAAGTAAGTCGATTTCCGTAATCTTTACAGCAAAAACCCAATGTGCGCATTCCTTTCAATGCTCCTAACGAGATAATCTGTCCAGAAACACAAGCCCTGTTTGTTTAAATAGTTCTTAAAAGTTCAGTCCGTACCGCGAAGAAAACACTACACTTCACCATTACAAAAACTCAAAATATTTAAGAATTCAGTTCGTACCGCGAAGAAAACAAAACACTTCACCATTACAAAAACTCAAAATATTTAGTAATTCAGTCCTTACCGCAAAGCAAACACTACACTTCACCATTACAAAGATCGATTGGTTAACGCTGTTTAAGGAAATAATCGTTGTTTATTCTGAGAATCACGAGCCGACATTTTCGTGTTTTTCTTGAGGCTGCACATTCAAGCGTCTCCTTACAAATTCCCACCTACTCTCTATTTACGAACCTCATTCATTGTTAATCCACGTCTATACTTAAAACGCTTCGTTAAACAACCTAGTTACCAATCTATAATGAACTGGTTTTACGACTTTACAAGAGGTCGAAGCCCGCTTCGTACTCAGTTAAGTCCAGGGTTGAAATTTCAGCCCGGCGACAGCTTATTATGATTGGTTCTTCGTGATTTTCCTCAGCACGTTAAAGAAAATCCATATCCTTTGCAATTCATTAGCACCGAATCGCCTTACCATTCGCTGCCATGAGCAAGGAACTTGATCTGGCTTCGTGTGTGTTTCAGGTTGTACAAGAAGCAGTACTTGGGACTCATGGTGGCTTGCACGTGGGTCTTCGGATTCGGCGCTCTCATTACCACGTGGTTCGGCAAGTGGGGGAGATTTGGCCTGGACACGAGGATTGGCTCCTGCTCCATTCTGCCAGACTCTCACGGCCACTCTCCCAAAGAATTCCTCTTCATCGTCGCCTTTCTAATCCCCTGCCTCGCCATTGTGATCTGCTATGCTCGCATCTTTTATATCGTCCGCAAGACGGCATTCAAATCGCGCCTCACGACGCGACACAATACGGTCACAGCGAATCAGTCGCGCAGTTCCGGTGCAGCCACCAGCAGCAACAACCCTGATGGTAAAGTGCGTCGTGGCGAAGGTTACGAGGCTGTCACTGTATCTGGAAGAATTATGAAAAAATGTAACTTCTCTCCAGAAGACTCCGCACTCGGGTCCTCAAGCACCGGTCCAACTATCACCAACGACAAAGGATCGTCCTTCATGGAGAACGGACACACGTCTCCCCCACCTTGCAACAACAACAAGTCTTCTTCAGATATCAGGGTTCAAATAATTGACAATGTCATCGGATGCAGCAGCAAATCTGACAGAATTATCCTGCCACCAAGTCCCAGTCTCCTCTCACCTCCATCGCCAATTCGCCTGAGACTTCCATTGCAGAAGAAAGTCTTTGGCGAACCTTCCTCTTCATCGGGCATCGACGCAGGAGCTGCAGGTAACGAGGAATATGACGACGAGGAAGGTGTTTGCAGTAGTCGAAGCGGAACTCCGACGTCTCTCTGTAGCTCTTCGACGATGGATCCCTGTGGGACGACATCGTCTTCGGCTCAACACAGTTTCAACCAGCGATCGAGAGGAGTGACTTGTAAGGGTCGTCGGAAGGAGAGGGTGACAACGGCCGGAGCTGTCAACTCAGCACTGTCTCATGTAACGAGTGCCTTCCGTGTGGGTGGTAAGATCAAATGCAGTACGAGTCCTCGACGACAAAGTACTTTCGCGGCTTCATCCGGACTTGCAACTCCTGGTAAGATGACAGCCAAAGACAAGAAACTCCTCAAGATGATTCTCGTAATATTTGCTTCGTTCGTCATCTGCTACCTTCCCATCACCATCAGCAAGACCTTCAAAGACTCCATTGACATTCACGGGCTGAACATAGCTGGCTACGTACTTATCTACTTGACAACGTGCATAAATCCAATAATTTACGTGGTCATGAGTTCCGAGTACAGACAAGCCTACAAGAATTTGCTGATGTGTCGGAGCTCCAGCCAGGAAGTTGCACTCCCTCAACAGCAGCCTGGTAATGGCGCGGGAGGTGCTGGCCGGAGCGTGTCCCAGAGGGCATGACAACGGTTGCACAGGGGCTCCAAGAAGCCAAGAGCCCCTTCGTCAGTTCACTTGGTAAAAAGAAGGTCTAATTCGCCACCGACGACGACCTCTGGGGAGGAAAAAGACAGCAAGACGTGATCACGGTGGCCGTACTTTTGGTACCATTCTCTGTTAAATTATGGCTGCAAGTGAAGTGACTTAGATATGAAGATAAATGAATGTTTATTTTCTGAGATTTTACCAAGAAGATTTCTATTCTTTGAAGACGAGAAAGCTGCGATTAAAGATGATATTAATCTTTGAGTTCTTTTCTTGCAAATGCTCTGGAACTACCATAGACATTTAGAAAGTTGTTTAAGGGTTCAGCATCAACGAAAATTATTTGTCAGAAAGTAACTCTACTTCAGTGTCTACGTGATTGTTACGAGGTCAAAGATTTACAAAGCCAAAGGTTGATAAAAACAAGTAATTCACATTAAAAACTTGAACCAAATAAAGCATGAATACAATTTTTGTAGAAGACTGGAGATTTTAACTGTAGATCCTTTATAGAGGACGTGTACACAAAAGGAAAGGCTTGTGATTAATATCCTTATTAATTTGTAATAAAAACAGTTCAGAGACATCTTGTCAAACTGCATTCACAAACTAACCTAAAGAATCGGTTTAGAATTTAGTTCATCGTAGTTAAATTAGAACAACAACAACAACAACAACAACGCAATTGCTGCTTTTGCTCAAATGTCGCAGTTCTACGCAATGGAACTTTTGCTGCAGAGAAGAATCTAGTCTCAAAAAGTTACCATAATTTTATATATCTATATAAATTTGATACTTTTGGACAAGCCGTGTTCGTGTCTGGTCGTTTGGTTAAAGGCGCATCGATGTCTTCGCTCGCCAAGACACAATAATCTGTTTCACAAATGGCACGCGTCAATGTCGAAGGCCGACAAGCAGATTTGGTACTTGGATGCCCCTTCAGCAAGAAATTAAGAGGATGCTGTACTACTAATGAGAGCCACGGATATTTGTCATCTTATTTCTTCAACAACAATTTTTTCCCCCCGCCAAAAAAAAAAAAATTGTTATGAGATTCTGTTTCCAAAATAAGGGAGTCCAATGTCACTTCAAAAATGTTGATAATTATGAGAAACAGATGATAAAATTGCAACTGAATTACGTTTTGAGAGGTATTTCTCATTATCGGCAGTAATCATTGAAATTAAGAAGGAAACAGTGGGCGATATTCAGGTTCTCATGGCAACAAGTACGAAGCTGAACGTCTCGTCATGTGTTGCGCCATGTAGTCTGGTAGAATCTCTGATGATAGAAGCAGCGAACGAAATTCTACCAAACTAGGCGGTGCAACATTTCAGAAGATACGGTGGACGTTTGAAATACGACACGCAAATTGACAGGAGTTAATTTACCAAATACGCGACTGAAATTTACAGAAACTTCAGTGTAGCTCATCCGAGTTACGAACTGCCAACAGTGTTAAGTTCATGGCAATTTGTGTTTACGGAAAGTAATTTAGTGTAGAAGTTTCTTTACAGAAAGTGCCTCGGGAACAATACTAACCGAAAAACATATCTTTAAGGGAAATATATTTAAATGCTGTGTAAATGAACCAAAGAGTTACTGAGGAAAAGATTCTTGTATCACGGAGCGCGAAAGTTTTCAAAATACAAGGTCGACTGATAAATTGTATGTTTTGTGTTTATAGACATTCGTCTGAATAAATGTGTAAATATTAATTGTGGAATATTTTACAATGTAAAGCCTGGATCACGATAAGATATAATGTTTAATTTGTTTAAATGCGTTCTACCGCAACGAATTAAAGCTAAGATTATAATTATTGTTGTATCTGAGTAAGAAGTTGTGTTGCCATATTTATCTGGTAGAATCCATAAAATAATGTAATTAACCATTTCATTGCTACGTTAGCAACTGCTGTGGATTCTCCCCAAGTCCTGATTCCCTCTCACCGATGGAGAAATCAGTTATGAATCTTATATTTATCTCGTTCAGTGTCATTAAAATTAGCAGTACGTTTCGCGACAAGAAATCCCGAAATATCTTTATTTAAATAAATTATATGTGATTCATAAGTGCCATTGATTCTAGTAGCAAGTTGATTAAATTCATACTGTCGGTGAAATATCAACCAGAATGGTCCAGACTGTTCCCAGAGGATGTCAGGAGCTTATAAATAAAAGGTGAGATCTCAGGGTCTCATTGTGGGAAGTATGATGACTGTTTTGTGTGATGTTGAACTCGATACTGTGGTAGACGTTTATCGACGTTTCAGAGATGACTGATACCGTAATCAGGAGACTGTAGATGGACTCAAGAAGTGCCTCCGAAACGTTGGTAAACTTCTACGAGACTGCGCAGTGCAGCACTCAAGAAGAAGAATAAGAAGAATGCGTAAGTTTGTGAATATATTAAGAGTAAATACAGTTCACAAAATCTGAGTGAGTCTACTCGAACGCAGCCTTGGGGAATCACTCGGATGGAGCTCTGTTCATCTAATTATGGAACACAGGAGGAAATAAACTTTTAAAAAAAAAGGTGGATGTTTACTGCAGTGATACTTCAAAGACTGCAAGATAATACATCATTTATTATCCCAGCTAAAATTACAAGGGTTCGTATTTAGAGTTGAAGTGTGTCTTTCATTCGGCTATACGAATAATTTCTTACGGAATTTAAAAAGTCTGAGTCAAACCGTTTCTTGAGTCGCTGAATGTCAAACGATCGCTCAAAAACGTTCACTGTGCAGTCAAAAATTGTTAAAGGCTGCCACAAAGTAATAAGGTAGTAGTTCTCCTGTAACTCTAAACATGGACTCATGGGAAATTTAGCTGAGGCGGTAATGACGTCTCTGCATACGAAAGTTGCACCACTAAGCGATGTTATTTTCGGTACTGTGTCAGACGATTGTATGTGTGTGTTGCTCTAGGGAAGAATTATTAAATAAAATACGCTTTTTGGTAAATAGCATCTTCTTCAGAAGATTTATTCTCTACGATCCTTTCCTAGCCACATCTGACATTTATTCAGAATACGCGTGCGTGTGCTGGTTGAGAGCACAAAGCAAGATTCCGCACTCATAACTCACAACGAACACAAGCAAAAACGGATTTTAAGTGTGTTTCAAGTTTTAGCGCGGACGAAGAACGCGCGATATGAGCCCGTCCACGTCTGTGTCACCCCACGGCACTCTTTACCCCCGACGAGGAGACCGCATTGCCCACTGGGTGGGAGGCACTGAGGGTCCACGACCGATTTTGACGTAGCAGCGACGAATGCACGAGGCGAGTTGACGTAATTTCAGATAAATATTTACGAGGGGAGTTTTTTTCCCCCAGTCAACCAATTACTTTTTAATTATTATTCAAAAGCAAAGTTTTCCCCTTGGTGGTCTATACACTTCATTGCTTTCCCTATCTCTGTAATTCGAATTAAATTTATGGGGGGTGGGGGTGGGGGGGTTTAATGACTGATTTTTGTGTCAATATCGATGTGCACAGGTCACATCATAAAATGTTCACGTCCATTTTAACACAAATCGTCTCTCGTGACATATTTTCTATCTGTCAAAAAATTAATTACATTGGAATCCAGAAAACACGAAAGTGTTGTAATGGGCGTTGGATACGTCCACCGCGCTCAACAATCCTCATGTCTGACGCAACAGGTCATTTTTATGTTTTAGGTCATATTTGTATTTCGGTTATATTTTGGGTATAAAATTCTTTCTTGAAACTACATTTCTCAGACACTTAAAGTGAATCCTTCAGTTAGTTAAGAAGCCGAAAGTGCGAAGTTAAGAGGTTTCATTAAGATTTCAGTGAGGAATATTTTAGTTCTGATGGAACAATTCTGTGCTGTAAACTTTGTGAAGTTAAAATTACAGCTGGTAAGCGATTTAATGTGCAACAACATTGTGATACGGCCCTGGTGACTTACTCCTCCTTGATACAGTAAACCACTCCTCTATCGCTGTAATTTTCGATAACGTCATGAAACGTTTGTGATGTCTCAAGTTACGAGACCATATTGTGCGAAAATCTAAGAAGATTTTCATTTGAGACCTTAAAAATACACATCGTTATATATTGTAACGCTGCCAAGAAAGGAGAATGAAGAAAGGTACTTAATATTTTGAATTTTGTTTATTTACTTGTAATTAATGAATTTGAAATGCATGAAAGGCCATTACTTAAAATATTTTCTTATTTTTATAGGAGCACGTTTTCTCAACATCTGATGCTGATCCAAAACGAGGCATTTACAACTTAAAGCGACTGAGGTTTTTGATTAAAACTGCTAGAAAATCAAGTAATGTAAAAGTTGTACATGCATATGTAAATAAATAACATGATTGAAATACAAAAAGATTTTTTTAAATTTTAGCGAATATTTTTTCATAAGAAATTAGATCATATTTAGCTATTTTTTGGGGCATATTTTCATGCATATTTCTCTGTTTTTTAGGTCACTAACATACGAACCCTAGTAATGAGTAACCTCGGAATTAAACGTATAGAAGACATCACTAGATGTGTCATTTTTAAGTGATGTAGTTTTTTTTTTATAAAGTGCGATGGTATTAAAAAGAAATCTGGCTTGGTCTCGGGCGCCATTCGGGTTCGCCTTTATTTTGTACGTCTGATTTAAAAACGTCTTTATGGGCGGTTTTCCGTTCATTATAAAGTTTTATGGCGTGTGCAAAATCTGACATATGGATCTCAGCATCCTGCGATGACCCGAACGAACTTATGGATAGAAGAGAAAGGAAAACCACGTCAAAGAGCTATCTGTCACTTAGAAAATACACGGTAAAAAAGTGGGGGGGGTGTTGATACTGGTGGATTCCAGAGGCAACTGAAGTTATTGCTGGAAATGAAAAATAAAAAATTCCGTCATAAACAAACATTCCCATGCCAACCATAAATAACGCGTTCCACAGAAAACAAAATGTCGATGTGTCGTTATCAATTATGACAACTGTACTTATCAACAACACCTACAAACTTTAAAGTTTCATTATTTATCTTTTAATTTTGTGACAATTACAACATGGCTGCGACGCGAAGTTAATAAATGACATTTCCTTCAGTGAAAAAAATTATTACGAAGATAAGAACCGTTGGTTTTACAATTATAAATATTTAATTTTAGCCATAATCTTTAGACGTACAAGAAACGATTAACTGAATAACAGGCTCAATCTTCCATGGACTCCATA